GAAGAGGGAGTTTTTTCGGTCTAACCCGGATGAGTTTGTTGGGGATCCAAAGGAGCCACTGAAGGCTGACGAGTGGTTAGAACAAATGAGTAAGACGTTCGAGATGCTTGGCATCGAGGACGGAGCATTGAAAGTGACCTTGGCATCCTTCCAGCTGAAGGGAGATGCGGGTCAATGGTGGAAGTACGAGAAGGCTCGTGTTGGTGGAACATGGGAGGCGTTTGTGAATGCTTTCCAGGAGAGGTTTTTGTCTGCAGTTGCTAGGGAGAAGCTGAGGGATCAGTTTAGCCGGCTTAATCAGCAGGCTATGTCTGTGGCAGAGTTTGAGGCCACATTCACTAGTTTGTCCAGGTTTGTGCTAGATGCATGTTTGGCATGGAAAATGTGAAATTAATGTTAAGACATTAATGAAAATGGAACCTAAGGGTTGTAATGTAAATTATGGAAAATGCCCTAATTACCTTGGTTAATTAATTTGCATAATTAATTATGAGAAATGAGGAATTGATTTGGGAAGTCATGGATAAAAGGGTGTAGTTGGATTATTTATCACTCACCGAGTTGGAATGTTTGAAATGTTGATTGAATATCCATTGTGCATTTATTTTCTGTATAGAAATAACTGCTTGGGCTATCGATGGAGGATAGTCGTGATTGTTGTAGACAATGTATGATGATTAGGCAAACTAAAACTAATCGATTGAATGTGTCATAGAGTATGACAGTGGATTGAATACATTAATTTTATGTATTGAATGATTGTGTATAGAACCTTTGTGTTTATATGCATTGTGTGTAGAGGAGGAGATGGGGGATGCACTTCGCGGTTTAGGGGAAGATGGGGGATGTACCTCTAAACCGGATAGGATTGGGAGGAGATGGGGGATGAACTCCGTAGATACAGCTCATATGCTTGTCTAGAAAAGTGAAGATAGAGCTTATATGCTTATCTTTGTGAAGTGTGGATATAGCTTATATGCATATCTGTGAATGTGGGATAGTGTTTTACACATATCTGTCGAAATAATGATAGAGCTAACATGCTTATCTGTTGAAAAGGGGAAAATGAAAGGTAACTTGGACTCATAAGTCGTATGACATAAATATGTGATTTATGTGAATGTATCAGTGTTGGCCATCTATCAATTGCTAACATTTTAGTCATTGTTCACGGTTGGTTTAGTGTATTTCTACTGGGCTGTGGCTCACCCTATATGGGAATATCATTTTCAGGTACAGGAAGAATGCCACCTCCAAGGACATAGCTTGGGAGGCTAGAGGCGGACATAATGTTGTCGTTTTACTTTTTGATGTATTACATGTAAATACAAGCCAAGGGCTTAATGTGTAAGAGTTAGTACTCTTTTGATGTAACCAAGTGTTAACTTGGAAAGCTGTAAGCCTGTAGGGCATTTGCTTTTGTTGTTAACATGTAATACTTTTGTAATGAAACTCTGATAAAATGAAAGAATGTGGAACTTTTGAATATCAATGCATGTCTTATTTGTTGGGATTAATGTAATTATTTTGAGGGCGTTACAACTTGGTATCAGAGCGTACCGGGTTCGAATACTTTGGGTACGTGGGAAGTGATTAGTATCACAATGGGTTTGTCTCGCTTGATAGAGACTTAGATGTAGTATCATATGCTATGTGCTTAAAACAGTTAAGTTTAGACACATCTCTGATGTGTTTTTGTAAAAGAAATTGTGGGAAATTATCCCATTTAAAACCTTGGTTGGCTATGGAAGGTGCATGGCTGTTGTTAACCAGTAAACACACAAGTGTATCCTTACTCGAGAGCAATGGATCTATATTCGTAACAAATTCATCTAAATAACACCAGAAGGCATGAGGTTCTTGTTCTGTGAATAAATTATCTACAACACAGAACATACACCCACTAGATTAATAATATTGGCTTGGTATGTTAATGCAACAAACATATCTTAACTCCTCTTTGTCTCGTAACAAAAGAAAAGACGAAGAAGCTAGTCAAGCCAAATACAATATGACCTTTTTGAAGAGGGGAAAACAGTGCAATCCATTATGATCTTTTTTTCTTCTTTTTGAAGTACAACCATTCATCATACTCTATCTGTCCCACAAAGTGAGTTCATTCTATATTTGTTTCTCATGGAAAGTGTCGATAAATAAATGTCAATGTCATTGAATGCATTGAATACCCTAAAAAAAATAGGCTTAGGGAGTATTACATTCAGAGTGTCAGCATGTTGGCTTTGAGTGTGAGTAGTAAAAACTTGTGCTCCAAAATCTAATTCTGGTCAAGCATTATCTGGCTAGAATATATTTAAATTTCCAATGCCTAACCTTTATCTACAGACTATATGAGTTGTTAACTAGTGTGTCATTAAATCCTTGGGGTTAACATCAGGATCAAGCCCTTGCAAGCCTTGAGCCAAGTAACATAGGACCCATAATTTTGATTAGTTCAGGAAAGATTGCACTACAAGACCAGTAGTAAACTGCAAATGGACTTTGAAGAAAGAAAGAAAAGGCACTTCTAAAAACAGCATAACTTACCATATCTAAACCAGTTGGAAGGTTTGCAATTGAAGAACCACCACGTTTAGATAATTTCATAGCTTCAATGCTTTCAGTAATAGAACCAACTTCATTCACCTAAAAAACCATAAAAAAACACTTCATTAAGCATATAGCTACCACATAATTCCAACAATTAAAGACATGAAAAGTAGATAAAAATGTTTTGAAAATATCATTTTCACTCACTGAAGTTGGAAGGTTGTCATGAGGAGTAGATTGGAGTAGATTGGAGCCTCTTTGGGAGGGATTGGTACCCTACAATCAAAGATAAACATGCAAGTGATTTAAATATAAAATAACAAATTAAAGACAAACAAATTATGTGCCATGACATTATATTATCATGTTTAGCTTTTCCTCTTACATCATTTTGCCTTCTTTCTTTGATAAGCATGGCTCTTATCTCATCGAGTTGTTGTTCTAAGTCCAGCACCTTGCTTTCAAGTTTTCTCACGTGCTCATTTTGGTGTACTTGTGCATCAACCTTAGATGGTAATGCCCCAAATCATAGCCCTTGTACACTCCCATGACGCTTGGGACCAAAAGTATGAAAAATCGTATCATCTTTTATAGATTTTGGACCCTCATCAGTAGAAGCCTTATGAAGTTCTTGAACATTTTTCTAAAAATATAAAGCATATCTTAATAAATTGATGGGAATGCAAATTATAATACCAAAAAAATAAAATAAAAAATGAAGTAATATTGGTACCACAGTCGCATCAAGCACTTCATTCATGGATTTTCCTTCCTTCCTCGTATGCCCTTTAATCCAAACATCAACTCTTGATATGGATGATGGTGCTCGACTTTCTCTTCTCTAGAAAATAAAATAGAAAATGAAAATCAACATGATTAAAACAATCTCAAAGTAACCATACTTCATACCCAATTTACAAAATTACTTGAATCACTCTTAAATTTACCATTTCATCCTCTAATTGTGCATAACCTTTATGACTTATGGTGTGAAAGAGGGTTTGCTTTTTTCTCATTGCCCTAAATCTTTTACTCTTTGCCTACATATACAAAAGAAGAATGTCATAATTTATATGATTAATAATTCATAATTGAATCACTATGAGAAAATTTGTTGGTCTAATTAGTTCATAAAAACTAGAGAATTTCTATGAGGAAACTTACCTTAAATTCTTTGGAAGTTCGTTGTTTCACAAATGCTTTCCATTCAACCATTTCTACATTATCAGGTTTGGTGAGGACAATATTGTGTGCTAGCTTAGCACTTTTACCAAGAGGTCTTATTTTTCGTGATAGTTCAGATTTGTGTGAGCACCATAATTTTGATCTCAAGAACATGATGTATCGCACATAATCACATAGGAATTGATTAAATTCACAAATGCAAACTTAGTCGAATCAAGATACATGAAACATAGATGCAAAATATGGAT